CATGGGAGGAGCTTATCTGAAACTAAAACTGAATGGAACCAAGTAGTACAAAAAGTAGGAGGGGAGACACACTCCCATAAATGATCAGCTTTGTCCAGCCACATAACATCCTTGACTTATCAGTTTCATGCTTTTTTTTTAGTGTAAGCTGTTTTATCTAGGCAAATTTGTCTTAGGATCCTGTCACTTAAATTGAATGAATACTAAATGTACCCTATACAAAACTGTGTGACAACATACACCACACAATTCTGGATAGTGTAGTGATTAACTAAGTCAGTTTTGGATTCATAGACACCAAAGTATAAATCTTGCTCTGGCAGTAGCTGTTTTGACCCTGAAGAAGAATTAATCCCTCTCAACTTTGGATTTTTTATATATGAGACAAGATGTGTGATTTAGAAGGTGCTTGTAAGGGTGAACTGAGGAAAAATATATAAAGAATTTAGCACTGTGATTGGCTAACAATAACTTGTAGTGGTACAAATCTCAGGTTTTTTTTGGTTATCTCCTTAATTATACTGAGAAATCATAAGCACACTTCATATATCTCATTTTGTTTGTGTTCACTGTGTCTTAACAGTGTAAATGATCAACAAATCTTCATTTGATGAAGTGAATCTGTAGAAGCTCTAAAATAAAGAGTCTATTGATGGAGTTTTAGGCTTCATGCACCATTTACTCTGAGTGGAATGGATCTACTCAAGACCTGGAGATTTCACTGCCAGGCTCCAGGTTCCTGCTGTCTTAGTGTGCTGCTTGGTGTGATCCTAAATAAAGCAGAGGACTCTGGTTAAAAACGGCAGACCTAGGGGCCTCCTAGTGTTGTAATGATTAAGTTGGTGCACTCTGCTTTGGTGGCCTGGGGTTCACCAGCTTGGATCCCAGGCACACCTATGCATCACTTATCAAGCCATGCTGTAGCAGGATCCCACCTGAAAAATAGAGGAAGATGGGCAAAGATGTTAGCTGAGGGCCAATGTTCCTAGCAAAAAGAGGAGGATTGGCATTGGATGTTAGCTCAGGGCTAATCTTCCTCAAAAATAAAGGCAGACAATGCAGGCAGCTTGTCTCTATTTCTTCCTGAAACTCACTAACATGACAGAAAAGAGATTAAAAATGGCATTACTCACAAGTACAAAAATAAATAAATAAGAAAACACAGAGTCAAAAACAACTACAAAATTTTAAAAGCTAGAAAGTAGATAATTGAGCAGTATTTGATTTGGCATACTCATAATATCTGACATTAAGATAGGACTGTGGAAGCCAAGAGAAAAAACTGATTTACAGTGTATTAATTCTCATATACCCAGAATTTTGTGCACCAGATAGCTCTGAAAGGAATCATGAAGGTGAGGACAGAACAAATGGAATGCTTAAAAACCTGTTTAAGAAGTAATTAGATTTTCAGATCTTCTCTACCTCTCCATGCAGCCAGATGACTGCCTCTAGTACCACCCAGTAAAAGACAGAGATTGACTCATTGAAGAAAGTGAAACAGAGCCTCTAAATTAGGAGACTATAGGCACATTTGAGAGAAAGTTTACTGTACTGCGAACAGGGGAAGAAAGCAGAAATTTCACTCAATTAATGTTGACATCATTAGCGTCCTTCCTCCTCTCAGGAAATAGAAAGTTGCAAGCTAGGATTATCTCCTTCAGGGATATTGGAAGACTCTTTTCTGGCAATCAAATCATCACAGGACAAAAAATTGACTGCTATTACCACCATGAGATCCTCCATTGAAATGAGACATTATACAGTGAACCTCACAGTTGGCAAGCACTGAGCCCCCACATAGAGATGCTAGTCAGCTTTTCAGAACCCCACTCTTAAATGTTAATACATGGGCAAGATTGCTGAGACATTTAAAGAGAACTAATGTAAAATATACAAAGTGAACAAACAGAAATAATTAGACGGAAAGGGACAATTCAAGAGAAGAAAACTTCAGAAAACGTTATAAGGCAACAAAACATACCCTTGAACATTAGAAATGACAGCAAAAAGAAAAACAAATGATAAAAGTCCTGGAAGAAGAAGATGAAATTATCTCCCAGAAAGTAGAGTAAAAGGATGGAAAACAGAAGACAAAATATAGCACAAAAAGAGGAAGTTCAGGAATTCAGCACCTGAACAATAAAAGTTCCAGAAAGAGAACAGTCAATGCAATGAGGATGAAATAAAAATTTACATAATTTAAGAAATATTTTCCAGAACTTAGATACTTTAGTTCCCTGAGTGAATTAATGCTTCCCTTAATATATAATCAGACATATATCAAGATAAAATATTGTGAATATTAAAAACAATAGAAACAAATATAAGATGTTAAAAGCTTCCAAAATGGAGGGAAATTAACCAGTTTTCATTATAAAAGTATCAAGAATTATGGAGGTATTGAGTTTCCTAAGATTGGATTAATGGCATCAAAATTTTGAGGGAAAGTGACTTCTAAATTAGTTATTTATTCTCATGCAAATGGCCAATAAATAAGAAGGTAAAATAAATATCATTTCAGATATGCAAGGTCAGTAAAATTTGCATTCCCTGAATCTTTTTCAAGAAAACAAGGTAGTATGTCTTGTACCACAATGAATGAGAAAACCAATAAATAGGGAAATACATGATTGAGGAAATAGGAGATCGAGCACAGGATAGAGATAAAGGGAATCCCCACCATGGTGACAAAGGCAGATCTCAAGATTTCAGATTTCTATCACAGCTGATAGATAAGCTGTCAAGACAGAAGTGGGTCAAAAAGTCCTAGAAAGATTTCTTCAAGAAGATGAAATTGCATACCAGCTACTGAATATACTGAGAAGAGATTTATGAAAACTGGGGAAGAAATTGGGCAGAAATCAGCAAAATCTATGGAATAATAAATAAACAAAAAGAGTTATGGAAATGAAAAAAATCGTAAGGTGCATTAACTGTAAATATTGCTTAAATTAGTGTTAGTAACATAACACTGGAATATTGATCTAACCTAATATGTGATAATAACCATATTGGTAGAAATTAGGAATGTGCAGCACGAAAAGAAAAGTGTGTGTGTCTGTCTGTGTGTGTGTAGTGATTGTGAGGGGTGTGAAAAGTTCCAATTCTCATCTTCCATAGAAGTCCAAGTTAGAATACTGTTAGAGTACTCCAAATGTGAAAGGAAGCTGTGTAAGTGAGAGGAAAGATCAAATCTTTCAAGGAGAGGAATTCTCTGAGACTTGGAGACTGGATGAAGATGGTGAGTGAGAAGAAAGTGCTTAAGGTTAGTTTATGGATTAGTTCCCCAGAAGGTAGTGAAAATAACTTTGAAAATGATGATCTGAAGGAACAGTACTGGGAATCACAAGAAAATGCTGAATTCAGTTTGGAGCACTTTGAACTTGGGGCACATAAATAGACATTAGATAGAATTGTGTGAGAGGTATTTACGGCAGAAGTCCAGGCTATACATAAAGCACAGTAATTCTCAAACATGGGTGATTTTGCCACCCAACAGACATATGACAACATCTGGAGAACATTTTGATTGTCCCACTGGTGAGGAGGATCTACTATTGGCGTCTAATGGGTAGCAGCCAGGGATCTTATAGTACACAGGACAGCCCCACAGCAAAAATTTATCTGGTCCAAAATGTCAACAGTGCCAAGGTGGGGAAACCTTGATATGTACTAGAAGCAGGGAGGAGGGTACCAACACTTCTCAGGCTCTTTTTATGTGTCAGGCATGTTTCTAACACATTGTGTGACTTAACTCACTTAATCCCCACAGCAATGTTGTGAGGTAGCTGATTTACTATCTTGATTTATAGATGTACAGAGGTATCGGTAGATGAAAACATACATATACAAGGGCCGGAGAAGTTGTATCATTGTCTACAGTCTCACAGGTAAGGAGTTTAGAGATTAGATTTAAATTCAGTCTGATCTGAGGGACCCACACCACTCTCGTGACCAGTTTGCTACGTCTCTTTATGGAGGTGAAATCTACAAGCATAGACAATGCTAAAGCTATGATTTAATGTTTTACTAATCCAATGTCAGCAACTCTAGGAAAGTGCTAGAAATGGCAGGTGATCATGCCCCAGCCTCTTTCAGAACTGTGCATAGACTCCAGGGGACGATAAAGAAAGTGACAAGGGGGGACACTCATTGCACTGCATTGGGGATTAGGAATTCCTGTTGGGAAATTATAAACTGAGTAGAACATTGAGTCTCCAAAGATCCAATGTTAGGTCTATGACACAGAATGCAGATGCAGGCTGAGTAATTTTTACCCTCAGTGGGCTCATTTAACTTGGAAGGAAATCATGAGGGAGAGAATAATTTTCTGGGCTTCGAATAAATTTTCCCAGAACTAAAGGGCATGGAATAGTTTCTCATTTTAGTCGAATGATTGTTGTGGAGATCATATAAGGTGGCTTTTTCTCCTTGCAAGTGAAGAGGACTTTCTGGGCAAATTCTCAAGTAGAAATCATGGCCTACATCCCAGTTTGTCTTTTAGCATGTCAAAAACTGAGGACACTGCTGATGTGTATCGTCTCCTTCAATCTCTTTGACCTCCTCAGGACTGTAGGGAGAAGGACTGTTAAGATCCAGCAGCATTAAGGCCTCCAGGAAAAAGAAGATGAGGGTGAAATCACCTGTGTCTTGATAAATTCCTTTCAAACCCCAGCTGCAGGAATCAAGGGTTCTAGGGAAAACCATCTATTTACTGCTCTTTTCAGCCTTGATCCTCAATAGTTACTGGGGAGAAGGGAGGAAATGATGTGCAAAGACATTGGGGATCTATCAGCATTCTTTCTAGAAAAAGACAACATAAGTGGGCATAAAGCAGGAAATGAGAAATCATTATGAAAATCATAGGAAATCTTGCTCATTAGATGCCTTGCTGTGTGTCTTCAGACAACTCTGAGCTTGTAAATCAGAAGATCTAACTCTCCCTTTGGAGACAAAGAGTGAGGGTCCATTGTCAATATCGCCTTCTATCCCTGTACCTACAGATCACACCTGGGAAGTGAATGGCTGTGAAAAATGACTCGTCTGTGACTGAGTTTATCCTTGTGGGATTAACAGACCAACCTGAACTCCAGCTGCCCTTGTTTTTTCTGTTTTTGGTGAACTACATGCTCACTGTCTTGGGCAATTTGAGCTTAATTAGCCTAATTTGCTTGAATTCCCACCTTCATACCCCCATGTACTTTTTCCTCTTCAATCTCTCCTTTATTGATATTTGTTATTCATTTGTCTTTACACCCAAAATGCTAATGAGTTTTCTTTCAGAGAGGAACATCATCTCCTTTACAGGATGCATGACTCAGCTGTTTTTCTTCTGCTTTTTTGTCAACTCTGAGTGCTATGTGTTGACAGCCATGGCCTACGATCGCTATGTGGCCATCTGTAAACCCCTGCTGTACACAGTCACCATGTCCCCTCAGAACTGTTCTCTGTTGATGTCTGGTTCATTCATGATGGGGTTTGCTGGTGCTATGGTCCACACTGGGAGTATGATCGGGTTGACTTTTTGTGATTCCAACATCATCAACCATTACATGTGTGACATCTTCCCCCTCCTCCAGCTTTCCTGCAGCAGCACATATGCCAATGAGCTTGTGATTTCTGTTATCGTGGGCACAGTTGTCGTAGTATCTGGCATCATTATCTCTATTTCTTATGCTTTAATTCTTTTCAATATCCTTCACATCTCATCGACTAAAGGTTTATCCAAAGCCTTCAGCACCTGTAGCTCCCACATAATAATGGTTGGTCTATTCTATGGATTTGGGCTGCTCACTCATATCAAGCCATCATCTGCTGGGTCTGTGGACCAGGGCAAATTTTTCTCAGTGTTTTACACCAATGTGGTGCCCCTGCTTAATCCTGTCATTTATAGCCTCAGGAACACAGATGTCAAACTTGCTCTGAAGAAAACTCTGAAGAGAATTACGAATTGAGCAGAAACATCTTTGCCTCTTATGCTGTGTGTTTTATCCTTTTCTGCTCCTGTTCACCCCCTTCCTCCTATTCCCTTTTTCTTCTCTTCATTTGTCTTTCTAAAGTCTTCTTGGCAGGATTTCTGTTCCAATATCTTTTATTCTTTTGCCAGAGGGTGTAACCCTATGGGCTTATTCTTAGACTCAAGGGTCATCCTCAGTGCCAGGTGACTCCATACTAGTTGGAGACAATGGTCTGAAAACCTTTCCTGTCTAAGGATCACACTACCCACTATGTGTGTGCGTGTCCTTCCCATCCTTAGTAAAGCATGGAGTGGTATAGTCTATGGCCAATTCATTCCTTTCTTACTGTTTATGAAACAATTACATACAGTCCTTTCCCATTTCAAGGGTTTTATCACTTATAATTGCATTAAAACAAATAAGGGATGACAAAAATTGTGGACATGGCAAAACTGTAAATTTTCCCAGAATTTTTCAGGTTTTTGATAGTAATGGTTCTTGATTCAGAATTTCAATGTCACGTATGTAAAGAAATGGAATATCTAGTTTAACCAAAGCTTTTTGTTTTATTCTCGAGGAAGCTTGAGAATGGATGAGCCACAGTGTTCTGCCAACCTTTCTCAGTCCTCACCAATAATGAATGCCTCTATTTATTGCGCTGATAAACTGATATTCTGTTATTAATAGAATTGAAATTGCGACCAACTTGTCTAGGTGTCTGAGGATTATGATTGTGATTAAAAATTACACAATGATATTCTTGGCTACAAAATAGAGTGCCCCGTGTAAAGTCAAGATTCTTTGTTTTCCTAACTATGTAATAGGATTTCCCCTTTGCAAAGGAAGATCTGTTTCCTGTTTTCATAAAAGAAACAGAAATATATGGCAGAAAACATGTCCTACTGGGATTTATTCTTTCAATATGTAAATTTGACTTTTCCCTTTTGTCTCTTAGAAGAAAGATTAAAGCTGTGGCCCATATTGTGTGCCACATATTTTACAAATTCTATCAAATGATATCTCCTTATTGTCTTCTTTAGATGAGGAAATAGTTATGTGACTTGCTCAAGATCACACAGATAATGAGGCAGAGCCAAATTTTTGAACCCAGTGTGCATACACCAAAGAAATGGAAAGAGAGAAGGAATTATGAAGGAACAGAGAAAAATTCTGAAGATTTGTTTCAGAATGAGCTTGAAAACAGGAGCTTGTGTGGGAATGATGTCCTCAGCCTTGATGTGTGTTGCAGAGAGATGGTCTACCAGCCTTCGATGCCCAACAAGAAAAAAGCACCTTCCCCTAGAGAAGTTTGATTTTAAAGTGGGGTAAACAGGGTGAGTTACAAAGAAATGTTTTATCGCAATCCTTTTGTAATTGTGATCATTTCCTGGGGTAATGAGTCTGAGGGACAACCTTCCCTGTTGAGGCCCCTGGTGAGACATGTCACAGTTTTCATAGTAGTATGTGTACTTTTTTTTTTAAAGATTTTATTTTTTCCTTTTTCTCCCCAAAGCCCCCCGGTACATAGTTGTATATTCTTCGTTGTGGGTCCTTCTAGTTTTGGCATGTGGGACGCCGCCTGAGCATGGTTTGCTGAGCAGTGCCATCTCCTCACCCAGGATTCGAAGCAACAAAACACTGGGCTGCCTGCAGCGGAGCGTGCAAACTTCACCACTCGGCCATGGGGCCAGCCCCAGTAGTATGTGTACTTTAACAAGCTTATTAAATACCATGCTATCAGTTGAAAACAAACAAACAAAAAGAGTTCTTTATAATTAAAAAAAATTAGAAAATAAGGTTCTACAAAATTATTTTATTTTGTGTGTTACGCAGAAGACAAACTGTCTACTATCTATTACTACTTCTAATGAGTCTAGGGCAAGATGTCTCTGGGAGGATATATCCTAGTCAGGGGATGTAGTTAATTATCTCTGTAATTTTTATGTTTATACAAAGATATTATGAGTTTTGAAAAATTCTAAAACATTAGTTTATAAGAATATCCTCATGATATATCTGTTCCAGTTAAGAACTTCACTTAAATCAGTTGAAAGTTATTTCTAAGAGAGCAGATAATCAAGTAATTATGTTTATTATAATACTTACTCACATAATTTTGTTAAAACTTTTAATCATCAGGTAGAATCTGAATGCCTAGTACCTGCTTCTATCCTTGTTTTGTCTGCATTCGCTAAAGTGCCTGGTTAAATAGATAGCTTAAAAACGTTTGGTTTGAATTTTACTCTAAAGGATATGTTTTTAGAAGTTCACCTGATTTATAAAGATATATAATGAGATTTTAACACTCATGTCTATAAATCCTTGGTACTTAACAAAAAGGTAAAATGTGAGTCACAGTCATAGCACATAACATGTGGTCTGAGTACTATATGTGGGCACCACCAGGACTTCCTGGTGGAGTATGAATCAGCAAATAGCTTGGCTCAATTCTGTGAAGTCAGCAGTCTTATTTTAGAGGTCAAATTTCTTGTGTTGACCTGGAAAATCTAAGTGATTTCACTTTTTAATTAAAACCACCTTTTATAATATTTATCAATAAAATTGTTTAATTTTAAGTCTAGTGGTTTTTTTTTCTTTTTAAACTAAATTGGGAAAGGACAACATGAAATTTTACCTTCCCCTCTCTCTCTCCTTTTTTTTCTCCCCAAAGCCCCAGTACATAGTTGTGTGTCTTACTTGCAAGTCACTCTAGTTCCTCTTTATGGAATGCCATTACAGCAAGGCTTGATGAGCAGTGTGTAGATCCGTGCCCAGGATCCCAAATGGCAAACCCCAGGTTGCCGAGGCAGATCACATGAACTTAACCACTCAGCCACGGGGCTGGCCCCAAGACTAGTGTTTTTTTTTAAATTCATATCATTTATTTAATAAAATAAGGAAATTCAGTGTAAAAAAATTTCAGGATATGTAAGCTTATTTCGCAACTATTGAATCTTTGGAAATGTGGTATGTGTAATTTGGTGAATTTCTTCTTTTTTTTTTTAAAGATTGGCACCTGAGCTAAAAACTGTTGCAAATCTTCTTATTTTTTTTCTGATTTTTATCCCCAAATCCCCCAAGTACATAGTTGTATATTTTAGTTGTGGGTCCTTCTAGCTGTGGCATGTGGGACACCTCCTCAATGTGACCTAATGAGCGGTGCCATATCTGAGCCCAGGATCCGAACCAGCAAAACCCTGGGCCACCAAAGCAGAGCACACAAACTTAACCACTCGGCCACGGGGCCGGCCCCATGGTGAATTTCTTAAAGACGTGGATATTGTTGCATAAATCTTTCTTACTCTCCTGTTATACCATAGTTACTCCATAAACAATTTAAACTGGAAAGTTTTTGTTTCATTTACAATCAACTCAGATTAACAAACATTGAAGATATATCAAATCCTTTGTGTATATAATGTTAATTACACTAATTATAATTTGTGCTTTAAGTGGGTTAAATAACATTAAAAGGACAACATCCCACAGTTTAACTTTCATGGAAAACATGATGCTAGAAATCTTAGAAATATATTATATTGGTGCTCATGGGATGGTGTCTGTTTATCAACCAAATTCATTCTATAACCTAAAAAAATTGAAATGTTATCAGGTCCTTGATTTGCTATAGCACAGAGACTGACTTATTAATGGAAAAGTTTTTAGATTATTTTATCCAAAGTTCTCATTCTTTCTCCTTCATGAATAAAAACTGAGACAGAGCTTTCTAACCACTGCATAGCAGATAGTATGGCAAATCAGTTATAGGTTAGGGTATTGAACGTAGGCCAGTGAAATTTGGCCTTGTCCAGTTGGGGTTTCAGTCTTATTGCTCTGGCAGATTGTAGCCTAGAAAGAGGCGCTTAGGAGGTCAGGAGTAAGGGAGGTTTGATGTGATCGCACTCCCATGACTTGGGCAAGCAGCAAGAATGAGACAAAATGGCACTCACTGCTCCATTTGAAAAGCCCAACCAAACAGGTGCTCCACCACCTGGTCACTAGCCACAGCAGCCACGTACAGAAGGGAACTGTGCCCATTCTAGACAAGAGTCTCATGAAGCTGCTGGAGTAGTGTGTGTTTCAGGTGCTCAAGGAGCACAGTGGTCACCTATAGGTGCTGCAGTCTGTGGTGATGGGAGGCCAGGCTGGGAATCCTCAATTACTCCAGGCAGAAGCCCTAATCTTTGTCTCCTCATTTAAGATATTTCAGCTATGTATCCTCATTACACCATCTAAGCTAGTACGATTGTTCTAAGAATGCGCAAGGCCTTCTGCAAATTAGGATTTTGTTATTTTGAAACATTTGAAATGAAAAAGTGAAAGTGGTTCTCAATTTGTTTAACATTAAATTTGCCAATAAAAGACAAAAACTCTTACATTGTTTGAATGATTTTAATTGTAAATTTGGGGATGGTTTAAAAATGGTTTTAAATTCTGTTACTTCCTTTTACCATTAAATATTTTTTGTTGTAGCAATGTAAAAAAAATTATGGTTATAATTATTAAGAATTCTTGGGGCAGCCTTGATGGTGCAGCAGTTAAGTTCACACATTCTGCTTCGGTGGCCCAGGGTTTGCTGGTTCGAATCCTGGGGTGGATGTACACATGGCTTGTCAAGCCATGCTGTGGCAGGCATCTCACATATAAAGTAGAGGAAGACAGGCATAGATGTCAGCTCAGGGCCAGTCTTCCTCAAAATAAAAATTAAAAATAAAAAAAAAGAATTCTTGATCCGTAATTGCTGCTTCATTCAAAAAACCTAGTAGAAAAAAATATGTTCTAGAAGCAAGCACACACTTTCATTAAGGGTTATGAAATTATTTTATTTGGAAATATTATCTAATAAAATACTTATCGTTCTGTTGTAATTGCAAGTGTATCTTGAATTTTAAATAATTTGCATTAATAAGCTATACATTGATAATACCAATTATTCTTATTTTACCATCACACATAAAATACATATTGAAAAGTTTACAGAACACTCATTTATAATT